AAAAGATTGAAAAAACATACATCCCTGACTAATTCATACCAGGGACTGCTAATGTATCTCTTCATAGAATGAGTTTAATCTATAGGTACTGGGTTGGAGCGATATCCGAGATCTATTTTTTTTTTTTTTTTTTTCGAGATCTATTGTTAAATGGGGAACAAACTAGATAATTTACTTAGTGTTTACATTATGATATATACTATTCTGAGTTTCTGTTCCTATTTTAATTAAGTCACTTAATCCTCACAGCAATTCTCTGGAGAGGTTCTGTTATTACTTCCATTTTACAAAGGCAAAATCAGGCATTAAGATACTAAAGTAACATGTCTGAGCTTGCAGATCTGATAAACTTGAATCCATACAGTCTGACTTCAGAATCCGTATATCCAACCATCATGCTGAATGTCATATTTTGGTTGTTTAGTATCCATCTAGTGTTCCAAAAGGAAACAAAGCCAGTACTGCATCTATGTAGATCTGTATGAGCATAGGGAATAAAGGTGATAATTTTGGCTACCTCAACGTGTGGGATTATGAGAAAGAAGATTATTACCCATTTAAAATTTTTGACTTGATTTATTTTTATTTTGAGAGAGATAAAGAGAGTGTGCACACATGAGCAAGCATGAGCAGGGAAGGGGCAGAAGAAGAGGGAGAGAGAATCATCAACCATTTTTATTTATTTATTTATTTATTTATTTATTTATTTATTTATTTTATTTTTGAGAAAGAAAGAGAGCACAAGATGGGGAGGGCCAGAGAGAGAGGAGACAGAGAATCCCAAGCAGGCTCTGTACTGTCCGCACAGAGCCCTGTAGGGGTTTTGAACTCCTGAACTGTGAGATCATGACCTGAGCCAAAATCAAGGGTCAGAAACTTGACTCAAAATCAAGAGTCAGACTGAGCCACCCAGGCACCCTTCATTAACCGTTTCTCAAGACATCTCTGTAATGTTTGACTTGTTGCAAGGAGGGGTTTAAGTAATTTATTAATTATTATTTTCTATAAAGAAAAATATCTTAAAATTAAACTAAAAATTAAAAAGTGTTTTAATTGCCATACTGTACACTTGAAACTAATATAACACTATACATTAACTAACTGGAATTAAAATAAAAAACCTTAAAAAGAAAATTAAAAAGTGGAAGAAAAACAAATCTGGGAACATGATGTTGAATCCTACATCTAATTATTCCACTTACAGAGGGAAAGTGACTTAATATAAACCCTTTAATTTATTCACTCATTCATTCAACAAATATTTTTGAACACCTACCCTGTTCCAGGTGCTGGGGAATATAGCAGTGAAGAAAATACACATAGATCCTGCTCTGAGTTAAATTCTAGCTAGAAACATACAAATAAACAAGCTACCTAACACATTTCAGATGGAAATAAGGGTTCTATCAACAAAAACAAAACAAGATAAGGAAAATAGGATGAGTGAGTACTGTAGGTCAGTGAATTGCTTTTATAGAATGGTCAGAGAAGCTCTTAGGGATAAGGTGATGTTTGGGAAGAGAGCTGAAGGCAACAGGGCTAACTGCCATGTGGATAACTGTGGGAATAGTGTCTGAGGTCAGTATGTTTGGTATACTCATGGAAGAAGATCATTTTGGGGTGGGAGTGGTCGGGAAGAAGAAATCATGGGAAAACCATATAAATAAAGGATTTAGCTTTTTCTATGAATGATATGGAAAGCCAATTGGAGGATGTTGAACAGATAATGACATGATATCACTTACTAACCTATGATGGATATTAGTTGGTTATTTCAAATTTGAAGGTAGTACAGTATTTGCCATTCACTTTATACAGCACCCACAAATGCCGCAGTGAGTGTTTCCTGAGAGCGTTATTTGAAAAGAGAATTTTCAATTGGCCTGGGAATGTTTTCAGGGAAGTCTGAGAGGGCAATCAGGTGGGATCCCATTGAGCGATTAGAAATTACACCCTCATTTGAAGGGACCCTGCTGACAGAATATGCTGTCCTGTGGTTTATTTTGTGGTTATCTCATTCAGAAAAAAACCTTGGGAAATTGATAAGGACGTTTTATTCAAGGAGTATTGTTTGTTTGTTTGTTTGTTAGACTTTTAGCAAAGGTAAGATGGTTCGTTCACAGGACTTATCTAAGGTCTGAACCAAACAAAACCAAACGAGACAAAGAAAACCCCCAGGATTTTGATTTGTCAAGAAAGCTCGGAACATTATGGGGGAAATGATTATTTCAAATATGTTTTACACATTGTAGGCCCAGGCAAACTTAGTGTCCTAGGTTGGGTTCCCCAGAAGCAAATCTTGAGGCTGATTTGTGTTAAAATTATTTATTGGAGAGTGTTCCTGAGAAGAACCTACAAGAGATCAAAGAGGGAGGCTGGGAAGGGAAGGAACCAAGCAAGGAAGCATGAAGTGTCAAGAAAGCCTGAAGGGAAACTGCTGCCATGGCACAGGAGTGTTCTGCAGACAGTAGGCACAACTCCATGTTGGCCCCATTAGGCAAGTTGGCTGTGCTATTTACATCACACCTTATGTCAGTCATTGGTCAAGTGCTGTGGGAAGGGAGGAAGTGCTAAATCCTCAGGCACACAGATCACAGAGTGTTCTCCCCTGAAAGTCTCTGAGAGAAAAGATCCAGCATAAGGACATCATTTGACTGCCATAGAGGTCTTTGAAAACTATTAATGGAAAGTATATCTCTCTTTTCCTTTCATGCTCTTCCAAACCATCATGCTTCCACAGGAAAATAAAACTTTGCCTCAACATCATCTTAGATGTTTGAGGAGTGAAAGCAAGATGCTTTCCCAGAAAAAAAGACAGCTTTTTTTTTTTTTAACTACTTAGAAGAGCTGTCTTTTCAAAAGGTATAGACAGTATATAATACTTTCTCTGATGCCCAATATCCAAGTGCTGCGCTGTTCAGGCAGACAAGGTTGCCAATTGCCTGCCTGAGGAAGAAGGCATCCACTAGTGGTCAGGAACCTGTCCTACTCTCAGACATGCTTTGTTCAGCTGCATGTGTTTAAAAATTGGAATTGTAATATTTGTCTTCATATATCTTGCCCCCAAATAATGTATCAATTTATTCTATGTTCAGAGTGTTCATATTATGAATAAAAGGTTGAGAATCAAAGATATAAAATTAGTAATGCTGGGGTGCCTGGATGGCTCAGTCGGTTAAGTATCTGACTCTTGATTTTGGCTCAGGTCATGATCCGTCGGTCATGGGATTGAGCCCCAAATGGGGCTCTGCACTGACAACATGGAGCCTGCTTGGGATTCTCTCTCTCTCTCTCTCTCTCTCTCTCACTCTCTGCCCCTCCTCCAACTTGTATGTGTGTGTGTGCCCATACTCTCTCTCATAAAAAATAAATAAATTAAGAAAAAAGGATGTTTAAAAAAACTAGCCTATGTTAGGGGATAGTGAATACGGCAATATAAAATATCACAACAGAGATGAGAATTTCACATCCTTTGGATAGTTCCCTTAAAAAAAAAAATAAGCCAAAGGTAACACACAGCCAATCTGAAGTAAGATAGTTAAATCAATTTAAGGGTCATTTTGAGAAACTGATTGTTTATAGGCATTTTAAAAGGAATGATAGAATAAGATTGCTAAAGTAGATATGAAGTTTTTGAGGTTATATTTCAGTTGGACAGAAATCATTTGCTTCTCTATTAGACAAAACATGGAGAAGTTAACATTTAACACGGAAAGTTCACACATCATAACATGTAATATTTACATGTAAACATTATATATGTAATTATGTTATTATATATTAAAAACCACATATGTAGATATGTAATTACATATTACATTTAAATATTACAATATATAATATTACAACATATAGGTCTATCACAAAATCTGGGCCTTTAACCAAGAGTAAACAGCACGTCAAACAAAAGCACATTACTCTAGGGGTGTCTGGGTGGCTCAGTCAGTTAAGTGTCTAACTTTGGCTCAGGGCATGATCTCACAGCTCGTGAGTTCAAGCCTCACATCCATTACTGTGCTAACAGCATGGAGCCTGGAGCCTGTTTCAGATTCTGTGTCTCCCTCTCTCTCTGCCCTTCCCATGCTCCTGCTCTATCTCTCTCTGTCTCTCAAAAATGAATAAATGTTAAAAAAATAATAATAAGTTTAAAAAGTACATTCCTCTAGATAATTAAATAATACATGGGTGGAACTGGTAAATAATATCCTAGTCCAATATTATGTCCTTTCTTTGTCTTTTTTCTAAATTTGGGGTAATTTTTTTTTAATTTGGGGTAATTTTTAAAACATTTCTGTCC